CACAAGAAGAAGATTGAGTACAAGCCGGCCGTCCATTTCGATGACGACAACGATTTCTATAATTATAATATCATTAAAGTCGACAAATAATTGACTCATTTCGTAACTGTATATCTATTTGAACACATTATTCTGTGTTTTGTCTCAATTTTTCAGTGTATTTATAAAAATTATTTAATGGTTAAAATCATCTCTCATTCACTTTTTCATTGTTTTTTGAGTTAATAATAAAATTGAGATAAATTTTCAAGTGAAATGTATGTTTCTAAATGTTGTCGTATTTATGTTATTCGCCGTATAATTGAGAATAATGTCTAATAATATCTCTCGAAAGTCATAAAAATATTAAATTTGATAAAAACATGTTGAATGCGAAACAAAAATATAAAATAATAATTTTCAAATTTTAAGTACAAACTCTTGATTGATAAACTCAATCATAATCTTATAATTTTGTTTATTTCGCGAAACTCTTATTCTCTCCCAAAAAAGTAAAATGTTTTTTAAGTGTTTTTCGTTAAAGTTTGTAAAAAGTTTGTATTTTTAAAGTAACGTTTGTCCTTTGAATGTGTTTTTAGCAAAAATGATTTATGCTATCAATTATTTATAAGTGAAATAAAACTTTGACTAACCTTTCAAATAGTCTCTTAATCTTTTTTATTCATAACCTAATAATCCGATCCATTGCTTCAAAAATCATAATATATTGCAAACGCTTTTTCAAAACATATTTAAACACCAAATCGAGTTAATTATCTTAAATTTAGAGTCTATTCAATATTCTTCTCAAGTATTTCCTTCAATATCAATAAAATTGTTTATCTTTTAATAAATAACTTTTGGATTAATTATTTAAATTTGATGTTTTGTCAATTTAACAGAAAAAATATAATTAATTTTGTGGCGAGACATTTGCATCAAATCAATAACTATTATGTAAATTATTTAAGAAATTAATTTATAGTATTTATTAAATATGTATTAGAAAATTATTCCTGATAGACATAGGGTTTTAACACATTTGCATTCAATAAGTGATTTATTTTTTGAATTAGAAATTAATTAATCGGAATGTTATTGAAATATAATTGAAAAGTTGTGTCAAATTAAAGATAAAATTGTCGATTTATCAAAAAATACTTTCAAATGAATTAATTATAAATTGAAGTGATGTTTAACGATGAGTATTAAATTATGTGTTAATAATCTTTCAGATTTATGTTAGTATTCAATGGATTGAATTAAAATCGCATAAAAATTCAGGCAATGATAGAGTGAAGGGTCACTTAAAACTTAGTTTTTCACAAATCAAACCCGGATTCAGACCTCTTGTGGTAAAAGTCTTTAGTGATTGATAATAGCATTAAATTGTTTTCTCTATGTTATGGTAAACACTCTTATAATGTGTTTGCGTTGAAAAATTCAATGTTTTTCTAAAACAAATATGTTTGACGAAAATATTAAATTAAACAAAACAACAAAACATGAAATATTGTATTTGCTAATCATTTGTACGTAAATTATAGAGAATATAAATTATTGAATAACATTTACCAAGAAATAAAATACTGGAAAACAAAATACATTTCGGAAATGTAGGCATAAATCCTTTTCCTGACAATAGACAGGATTATAAGTTATATTTTATGAACAATACATGTTTTAAGCCAATAAAAAGCAATACAATAAAAAGCCTACAAATGTCATGTAAATGAATAAGAATTGTTACATAAGAGTAATATATTATTTTATTTCATGGAAATGTAAGTCAAGTATTGAATAAAAAAATGTGTTCACAAAATAATGTTAAAAGGATTTGACTTTGAAATGCGTTGAAAACTTTTTAACGACTGACCGTATAATCAAATGTATCGTAAATTCATTTCTAAGTTGTGTTGAAAATGGAAATTATAATCGTATCGATTGCGGGACTACTCGTAATCTTCATGTTAATAACAGTAGTGATGTTTTTGTCGTGTAAATTATATAAGTATAAGAATATATGCCACAGATATGAGAGTCTCGATAAATATCAGCAAATCAATGATTGGATTAAATATATACCACAGTCTGAGACACGAATCCACATGAATCGCAAAAATGATAACCGATTTCACGTGAATAATGTTTGCAACCGAGAAATTCATGATAAAAGCGATCGTCTCATGGATTTCGTGGCAAACAATGCGATGTCAGACAAGACAACGGCCAAAGACAGGACAGGTGGTGTGTCCTCGGGTCAGACCATTGCCACTCATAATCACCATAATTCTGGTGAAATAGAAATCTCTGAATTCGATGCAATTAGCAACGAATCATTGCCTGCCATTGACTTCAAACTGGTTTACATCAGCCAAACATCAACTCTTAAGATGCATATCAAACGAGTCAGTAGTTTGCCGCTTCAACTTAGGAAAAATTGTTCATCTTATGTCAAAATCTCCCTGATCACTGACAGGTAGGCGCTCTCATACCACTTATTAATACTCATTTTTGCATTCATTTGTGGGTATTTACTTCACTTCAAAAAAACATGTCTTATATGACAGTAAAGTTGTTTGACTTTTTTAATACCGACTTATGAAATATATGAACCGTATGCGAGTTTGTAATTACATTAAAAGCTTTTCAATTAAAACATTAATTTTTCATTCAAATGAGCTGCTTTTCAGTAATGTTTGCAAACCTTTATCTGAGTAATCAAAAGGAAACGAAATGTACAGAAATAGGTATTTTATAGGACACGGGAATTAACACAGAAACAGTTGGGCTTAAAGTGAATCTGACGGTCAAAATCAATCACTTATGCTTAGAATTAGAGCTCAAAAAGTCTTAATTCGGGTAAAAAGTCACATAAAAATGAATTTCACTTAAAAACACACTTTAGAAACGAAATTTCGAAATCTTTGGTGGGATTAAGGGGTCGTAAAAAACTAGTGACACAAAGAACTATAAAAATAAATATGAAAATTATGTTAAAACAAAAAATCACTTTATTTTTGGGTATTTCTTTCTCCCCTCTGCAGCGAAAAGCTGTCCACATATCACACAAATGTGATAAAGAAGTCTTTAAACCCCGAATACGAGGAGGACTTCACCTTTTCGTCGCTCGCTTTTCAAGAGCTCCGGAATATAACCATAAGAATATGCGTTTACGTCAAACGAAAACAATTATCTAAACGACAATTAGTGGGCGACTTATGGGTTCCGCTCTCCAGACCTGATTTAGAGCCCGATATTGAGCTCAACTGCAGGGAGAAGCTGTCGTTAGCCTGTCCTCAAACTGGCAAAAGAGTAATTGAATATCAAGTTTATGTGTTTTATTTTTCCTTTTTTGAATCACTTATTGGCAATAATTTGCACTTTTATTGTATAGTACTGTATATACGGTATAAAAATTTCCAAATAAGAAAACTAATGTGTATTTTCATTGATTGCTATTATAGGGCCCACTATTGATGACTGGGAGACTGGGTTTTCTATTCATTGAAATTCAGTACCAATCCGAAGCCCAAAGGTTTAAAGTGGTTTTCTGTTGTCCTCTTTAGATAAACCACAACTCGTTTTGGCTGCTCTTTAACTGGATTATGAAGTGCCAGATCTGATGATAGCTGTTCCCAATAACTGCCTCTTTGGATGCCATTGAGGCCGCCGAAGATCCAAGAGCTGACGCCGTGAGGATAATCGTAGGGTATTTGGCGCTTCAGAAGTATGCCCTCCTGGCCATCGAGTTTAACGCCCGGTTGTACACCATCTGAGCGCGACGTCGGATACACTATGGGCTGGAAGTTAGGCGGAGGTAAGACATAGATTGGGTGCAAATCACTGGAGTCGTCGCTCGGCATGTCTTTCATCTGTCTTTGTTCGATGTACTGCTCGTCCGGAAAGATATTCTCGAATTTGTTGGACGAGTCATAAAAT